TTTTTTAGAAGATGGTCTCAATTAAACCGCCGTCTCTGGTGCCGGTGTCCTGCGCGCAGGCTCTCCTCGGTGTGGGCTGTCTGGCTGTCGTCCTCCTCGCCTTACTACTGGTTCGCCAGCTCATGAAGCAGAGAAGACCCCCGGGCTTTCCTCCTGGTCCATCTCCCATCCCTGTGATAGGGAACATTATGTCTTTGGCCACCGAGCCGCACGTCTTCCTCAAGAAACAGAGTGAAATTCATGGCCAGGTAATGACTTCAGTTTACAGCGTATTTTAGGGACCGCAGTGCTTTTTTACTTATGCTCTGCAAACTGTGCACTGCATGACCTTATACAAGACGTTAAAGTCTTTCATGACACACACATGCACCCACACACACATTGGGAACTAGCTACGAGACGAACAAATGAGACTCGCCCTAACATTTTGCAGTATGCAACATTTGGAGGAGAAAACGCTAAAAAAAAAAAAAATCCACCCAAAATAAATACATAATGAGGACACAGTCTTTCTTTTGATTGCAAGTTGTATTTTTTAATTGTAAACTTGCTTTATGTGCAGAGCTGGATATGTGGGTTGAGAGCTAACCTTAAAAAGGGATCAGAGCAGTTTCATTCACTCATTCTCCTGTTAGATGGCTCATGGAAACCAGTTTGGATAATAGTGCCAAAGAGTAGGCAAGGAACATTTTGCGAAATGCATTAAATTATAACATCTCACATTCCTTAAATAGGCATTCAGATGCATTAAAAAGTGTAAAGTACAAAATATACAATTGTTAATTTTGCAATGTGTATCTTCCAGATTTTCAGTCTTGACCTTGGAGGCATCTTGACAGTGGTGCTCACTGGTTATGACTGTATCAGGGAATGCCTTTACAATCAGGGCGATGTGTTTGCTGATCGCCCATCGCTGGCCTTTGTTCAGAAAATGACCAAAATGGGCGGTAAGATGATATTATAAGATTGTAATGCATACCAATTCTCATGCAACACTATCTGAATAATTACAGTTGGCATGCTGCAATTAGTAAACTTTTAATTTTGTCTCCACCTTTCAAAGGGCTTCTCAATTGCAAATATGGCAAAGGCTGGATTGAACACCGTAAACTGGCTTGCAACTCTTTCCGTTACTTTGGCAGCGGCCAGAGGCAGTTTGAGAGGAAGATCTCAGAGGAGTGCATGTTCTTTGTCGATGCCATTGACGAACACAAAGGAAAGCCCTTCAACCCCAAACACCTGGTGACCAACGCTGTGTCCAACATCACCAACCTGATCATTTTTGGACAGCGTTTTACTTACGATGACCGCAACTTTCAGCACATGATCGAGATATTCAGCGAGAACGTGGAGCTAGCAGTGAGCGGCTGGGCACTCCTCTACAACGCCTTCCCTTGGATTGAGTATGTGCCCTTTGGAAAACACCAGAAGCTGTTCCGCAATGCTGCTGAGGTGTATGATTTCTTACTTAAAGTTATAAATGGTTTTTCACAAGGTAGAGTGCCACATGCACCTCGCCACTATGTGGATGCCTATTTAGATGAGTTGGAGCAGAACAAGGGAGAACCAGGCTCCTCTTTCTCCCAAGAAAACCTAATCTATTCAGTGGGGGAGCTTATTATTGCTGGCACTGAGACCACGACGAACACACTGCGCTGGGCCATGCTGTACATGACTCTCTACCCTAACATACAAGGTCAGTAATAGCAGAAACATCTTCCACATATGTGAACATTTTATTTCTATTCTAACCCCTAGAGAGAGATTTCATGCACATCTGTTTGTGCGCTGATCTAAATAATGGTTATGTAATGTGTGAATACATGTCTAAGAGTGTCTGTTTTCCCATGAATAGAGAGGGTGCACAGGGAGATCGACAGTGTGCTTGAAAATGGAAGGGTACCCACTATGGAGGACAAACAGAAGATGCCCTATGTGGAGGCTGTTCTGCACGAGATCCTTCGCTTCTGCAACATTGTCCCACTTGGTATTTTCCGTGCCACCACCAGGAGCAAAAGTCAACGGGTACAACAATTCCCAAAGGCACCATGGTGATCACAAACCTCTACTCAGTGCACATGGATGAGAAGTACTGGACTGATCCAGGTGTTTTCTCACCCCAGAGGTTTCTGGACAGCAATGGCAACTTTGTAAAGCGTGAGGCCTTCCTGCCTTTCTCTATGGGTCAGTCTTTATGTTTCTTCTCAATTCCAACACTCATAAAACAAATGATTGTGGCTCTGGTCATTTGTGAGTCATGATTGACATTTCAAAATGTTAATAATTTCCCTCACTTGCTTTACACACTGTATTTTGTTCATTGCAATCTAATCCCCCACTTACATTAAATAGGCCTACAAAAGCTTTAAAAGAAAAATGAAAACAGATGTAGTGCCTGTTTATACACTGTAGCAATGCTACCATTAGAACATCTTACTATTTATTACAACAATAAAAGTAATTAAGTTTGAACATTAAATCAAATGTAATGTGTGGCATTCATATTGTATTGCTTTACATCTGCACAGACTCTAGCTATAATCAATACATCCTTCATATTTACACAAAAAGAGGGTTTGTCTGGATTCTAAAACCAATAGGGTCAATGAACTGTGTTAAACATACATGTGGATGTTATGTAAATATGATGTTGAAAATGATAAAGATTCTAGACAGGAGCAGAAAGGGTAGACAGCAGATTTTGATCTAACATAACGATTAGGTCACAGGAAACAGAATACACGTTCTCATCTGTAGTATTCCCCAATGTATATCTTGTAATTCTAAACAGTTTTATGAATTGGACAGATGTTGGGCCTGTGTGTGTGTGTGTGTGTGTGTGTGTGTGTCTGTCTAAATTATAGATTTTTCTTCTTCAGGGAAGCGTTGCTGTCTGGGTGAACAGCTGGCCAGGATGGAGATGTTCCTCTTCTTCACCACTCTGCTGCAGAGGTTTCATCTGCAGTTCCCTCCAGGAACCGTCCCCACTGTCACTCCCAAACTGGGCATGACCTTGCAGCCCCAACCTTACTCCATCTGTGCTGTCCGCAGGCAGCAGAAAAGCCCTTGCACTGGAGACACTCCTTATCACATATAGGCACTCAGGAACTTTTAACAGCTGGTTCAACTGTTCAAGCCAGAATTTTATTTTGCACATCATGCAACCACACAATGCAGGTGCATAAAACTGAATTGCGTCACAGTTTTTGCAAATGTTTAAGTGGTAAATGTAGCTATAGACAAATAGACACATGATCCAGTTTATTCAAGTACTATTGAATTGATGTACTGAGCAATATGCATGTTTGCACGCTATCTTATCGCAGCAGGGGAGGCGACAAGACTTGGTGCCCCAGAAGATAGTCTGGGAAAACTTGTGTGCTGTTGATTTAGTTCTCTGTAGCTCAGAGTTGATCCGAGCCCAGAAAATTAGATGTCTGAACCTTGGTGCGGTAGCAATGGGTTAGGTATTTGTCAATAATTGATAGTAAGTACACCTATGATGGTTCATAGCCCTGCCTTCTCAGGACAGCGTCAGGTCAGACAACTGACACCACTTATTTGTACATGTGTGGTGAAATGGCACTTTCCAAGAAAATTCTGAACACTGTGTGTTGAAGTTGGACGTGGGCCAGATTTACATCATCGGGACTGACTCTGACCCCTCCTCCAGGGATTGCGCTCTCTGGAAATTGGGTCTCTCAGAAGGCAAATGCAACCTTGGTGGATTTCTGGAAACTGACTATGTGACACTGATTTCAACTAAATGGTGCTTATCAGTACTAACAAAGTACTGCGTTTAGATTTTAGGAGAAGATGTGTTTGTACATTTTTTGTAATACTGGGATACTAAGTTTTTTTGTGTATTCATAAAGACTTTCTTAAGATATTTAAAACTTGTCCTGTCATCTTTAAACTGCTGCCAAATTGCTAAAACACAACTCATATATTACGTACAAACACCACATATTTATGACAGTGCGTTTTATCCACATAATAAGACCACAGATTATCTTATTTATTACTTAAATATGTAACTTCAAGAGATACAGCCCATTGATTTTGTGACCGAGGTCCTAGACAGAAGCAGCTGTGTAACCCATGTTCTGAGTTAACCTCTCTTCTTCACACTGCTCTGCTGCATCATGTGCATTTTATTATTTTAGTCTACTTCGGGGGCTGGATTAGGCCAATGTATCCTATTTAAAAATTAACACACGAAAGGTTAACATCCATAATGGAGTGATATTTCAGGCAAATTTTCGTTTTTTTATATTTTTAGCCAAGTTTTCCTCCCCGCCCTCTCCTGATGGAAATATCTGGCTCCATAGCATGCTAAAAGCTTCAATATGTCCATCTGATAGTTAATAACTGTGTTAGACTATCTTGGTGCTGGGAAGGTGGTTTACAGTTGGTTTTTAGTTTTCCACCGAAAGTTTCCTGCTTCTGCCAAAATAAACTGATTAGTGTGTTGCAATGGAACAAACATTAAAGTTGGGTTCCGTAAAACATATAAGCTGAGAGACTGGTGCCAAGGGGAGCTATAGAATGCTGTCATAAATGTCTGTAGGTTCATTATTACAGTTACCTATTTCACACCCTTTGTGAATGTAAACATATGTATTACAGTAGTTTGTAAGGCTCTGCACACCCACACAGTGTTTTCTGTTACTCTGGCTGATCAGACATATGCTCAGGTTGAAGCTGGGTTTAAGCAGGATATAAGGCCTTATTATATAATGACTAGTGCATAAGATGCCCCACCTTATCAGATGTCAGTCAAGTAGTTTGTACACAACCACTGCCCTGAGAGCAGGTCAGATCAGGTGAAGAACAAGTGAAAACACCTGTGTGGGTGAACAGAATCTGTGTTTGGAGTCTTTAAGGTTATTCCCATCTGTTTATTTTTAGTGGTATGGACACAAAAGAAAGCTGTGTTAATGTAGTCTATTGTAATTTCACACAAACACACCCCAATAAAAATCAACGAGAACTTCGGATAATTTAGGATGTGTTTTTATGACAGCTATAAATAACAACAAAAATCAGTTGCCCCCACAATGTAGATAAGGGTGAATGGTTACATTAGACAAACACACGTATATTGATGCTACATAAGGGTAACAACCATTCATAGATGTATTTATGGCACAATCATCAGAGGACACTGTAGTTTGAAAGACTGCACAGTGAGAAGCCAACAAACCTTTACAACTTAATGAGCAGGAATATAGCGGGTCAGAAGCTACCGAGGCTTTATGATCCAGCATGGGTCCATGTGAATAAGTTGACGACAGAGTTGTCAGAATGTATATGGCTCTGACCTGAGTCCAACTCTGACTCCTGCCACCGTCACTGCCATTTTGAGCCTGGTGGAATACTTGACTCAAGGTGTTTCTCTTGCAATAACAGTACTGGAGCCCAGAGGCAATTTGACAATCAGCGTATCACAGCCCACAAACTACTGTATAGGTAAAGTTTGGCACGAGTTGGGTCGACTGAGACAACAGTGATAGAGAAAGATAATGTGGAATACTAGAGTGGTTATGATGCAGAACCGGGACAGGCTGAAACCAAGTGAAAAATCAAAACCCCAAACCCCACAGTTCCACACCTGTAAAAAGAAGTAGATAAAAACTCTGGAAACACAATGGTACTTACAGGACCTCAATGTACAATATGTCAGCTGCGTGTAGAAAACAGATGCATTCATTTGATTATTTAAAAAATATATATTTATATGCACATACTCTTTTGTACAGCGGCTAAACACTTGTTTGGTATTAAAACGTGCATACCTGTATCTATTGTTTAGTATTTAAATAGTACTATCTTGATTTACACTGCTTACTTAATATTTTGTCCAGAGATTATGATTTAATAAGGTGATAAGATAAAGGAGCAAGGCAACACTTCTGCCTTCTCTTCCCTAAAACGTCTTATACTAGTGGAATGCCAAGAGTTCTTAGAGACAAAAATAGAGAACTAGTAGTTTTTTAAGGTGCCTCACAGCACGTCTTGATACTGTATGTACTGTATATATATAAACAATAAGTGAAATTAACCCTGGATCCCTTCTTTACACACTGGCCGAGTTATGGGTTTGGCAAAAAAATAAATAATAATTGAGCAAAAGGAGTTGGATGAGCTTTACATTTATCCGAATATCAGTGTTTGCCATCAGACCAAAACACTAAATAGACATTTTGCTGTTTGTTTAAAAACAGAGTAGATTGTGCAATGAATTTAAGAAAAAGAGATTACCTAATAGACTGTTGTAGATCTGCAAAAAGGTGTTGATGCAGGACAGACGTTTGCAGTCTGCTGACAATCAAGATAAGCCCTTCTCCAGTGAGGTTGTAAAAAGGTTATGCAAACAGTGAATGAATGGCCGAGAGACAGCACATACTGTATGCTCCTCCGTCACAGAGGCTTTCATTGCTTGAATTTGTTTGTATTCAAGTTGTTCATTAAGAGATTACAAACTACTTCAGTCACCCAGATTTTAATTTTCTGACTTTTTAAAGTGTATTTTATAGTAATGACATAAATTCTTGCAAAATAATTATTCAACTTTTGTGTGAATCCTGAGTAACCTTTAACAAATACCTAGAATCAAAAGAGAAAAATGAAGAATCCCTTCATTGAAACAGCACTCCTGATCTCAAAGCAACATGTTAAAACACCAGAGGACATTTCACTGATTAGAAAGCAACCATTACTGAAAGGACACACAAACATATAAACAAAGTACATGGTCAAATAATTAAAAAATGTGCTGTCTTTCTCCCTACTCATTCTCTTTATCACATTCCCTTCAAAAATATTCACACACTCTAAGAAAAATGAAGCAAGGACAGTTAAATATCCAAACAAAAGACAGTGGTACACATGAGTAAAAGCATCAAAAATGATGCAGATATAATGCTATTATTCAGTCAACATTTCAATAATGTCTCTGTGACTGAGTCTGATACAGTGTTTCGTGTCGCCAGCAAGGAGAGAGAACTACACAAGCCTAGGCTCTGGGCCGATATGGACTCAGTAAAGGTTCAGACAGGCACATTTGAGATATATATATATATATATATATATATATATATATAATTCAAAAATATACCTGACTTGAGGCTGAAACAGTCTCTTGTCTTTCCGTGTTTGCTTTGGTAAAGGGTATCAATCACTTCATGATGTTGCTTGCTTCATTATTTTTCCTCTACCTTTCATTTTTAAATAGACAGGAATTGTTTTGTACCTAAGGGAGGTGTAAGCGCTTTTCCATTCAAGGCAGCATCACAGCCGGGTCACCGTGGAGTCGAGTAAGATACTGCTCCACTCCGTCCACACTCTTCTTCTTCTGCACCTTTCCTCCACAGTTCGGGTGCTTTTTTTTCTTCTGGGTGCACTCGACTCTTCCTGGGTTGAAAGTGCATAGGAGTTGGGCTCCCACCGTTGCAGCAAGGATCCGCTCACAGTAGTAAGGCCTTTTTGTTTCTCCAAAAAACAATGTGACTGCTTAAGCATCTGAGTGTCTGCACAGTGAATCTTTCAATATGTGTGTGTACGTGTAAGAAAAAGAGAGGGAGGGAGAAAAGTGTGTTTTATGTGCATCTGTCTGTTTGTGTCGGTGAAAGGCAGGTGGTTGAGGGACTCATGTCCTTGTTCTGCCTCTCCTCTTCTTTTTCACGTGTCTCTGTTTTTTCCTCCGCCCTGCTGCTGCTACTGACGCTCCTCTCCCTCCTCCTCCTCCTGGATGACCTGGATGTCATCTGAAGGGGAGGTGGGCAGGCTGGCGGGCAGGTTTGGGAGGAGGCCGTCGGGCTGCTGCTGTTTGCTGATCTCTTTGCTCTTCTCCTCCTCCTCGATGGTCTTTATCCACACCTT